CATCATATGAGACAACACCATCTTGTCTGTCGGGCGATGTCAGATTATTATGTTGATCCCCACGACATGCTTGAACAATGAAAACTTTCGGTTTCCCACCAAGTGAGGGACAGTTTCCAGCAGAAAAGTGTTTAAAAATGTCGTCAAGTTTGATTGATTGGCCATCGGATGCATAAACAATGTTTCCTTCATCTCCATGACTCAGAATAATGACAAAGAAAGTACAAAACTCCGAGTGATCCTTCTCTTGATAGTGTTGTAGTGTCGTTTCAAACTGTTCTCTTGTAACGTTCCTCTTCAATTCTACCGTAAAATTAAGAAAATTGCCAAACAGTTCTTCTAGTTTAGTGGCATCTTGGTCACTCCCAACCCTCTCAGCTAGATTACCACCAGTGAACTCAACATTGTTGATGATGAGACAGTGTCCTATTGGGTTGGCATCCATTGGATAACGCCCTGTTGAAAAAAATATGCAAAAAATTGGAAAGAGAAAGCCAAATATTTACATACTTTCTTTGTTTTGGGTAGCCATTCTTTCTGCTCTAGACAAAGCACTTCTTCCCAGCTATAAAATCAAAATTCATTGTTCGAGACATACCATAACATTGACACTTCATGATTAACTATTAGATGCGTGTGGTATCGTTGTATGTGAATGACAATGAATATATAACTGATTTTGACGCATCTAAAATAAACATAATTTCTGACTAGCAAATCCCCTGAACTTTGTCTATTATTTTGACGTATCATAATACACGTAGGCTACATTGTCGTATTGACCATGTATACATGTACAATGTAGTGCAACTACAGCACAGTAAAGACTGCTGAGACTGAGAGAACCTTCATAAGTCTTAATAAGAACCCAGTTGTACTTGCAAGGTGGTGAAAACAATTATAGGAATAAATTATTTTTACACTAATACGCTTGTTTTAGAGTAGATCTAACGTTACTGGGCGTGTCATGTGTTTTATTAATGGGTGGAGCTCATTTTGCTCAGCAAGCAAACTTGTAAACTTTTCTCTTAAATGGAAGCCAGGAGAGAAGAGATTGACACTAGCCACACTCGCTTCATAGATGCTGCAAACCCTTTATTCTATTCACTCTCTGTTGTATTAATCTTCTTCACTTTGCTATCGTTGAGGTATATCTAATCAGATGTTTCTAGATTGTTTTATCTCATTCCTTCCTCTCCCTCTTTCTCTAGTTGGCCACTTGTTGCATTATGGAGTTGTGGATTTGGTGTTTTAGGAGCTTATCTCTTGTTCAGGTACATATTGATACTCCCTTTTTGTGGGCGAGGCCGGTGCACTTTCAAACTCTGATTATATATACTGATTAAACATTGATTGATCTTTAGGAATAGAAAATTGGTTCCTAATCTTTTACTTCATCTCAGACCAGTTGTTAATGTACGTAATATTTTAATGAAGTGCATATTATTATATATACTTCTTCAGGTAGAGGAAGATGGTGACAGTTCAGTTAAAGATTTAATGTGTCCAGTTTGTTCTAACGCAAACTGCTCACGTCATAAAGTACTTAAACCCAATGATTGTGACGTTTCAATGGTAAGGCCTTAATGATGATGTATTAGGGGTTCTCTTTTGCCATTATTGTAGCCATGGAAAGATCTTAGTGTTCCCGAAACTATTGATAATTCGTTGTCTAATGTAAGCGAGAGTTTTATTCTTTTTCTATTTTCATTTTTATTTCTCTCTTTCTGTTTTATACCCCATCTCTCTCTCTCTTCCTGTAGTTTCTTAATATTATAATGGCAAGATTCATTACAACTTGGCACAAGTAATTATTAACTTTTTATGCAACATAAGTCATGTATATGCATCAGAAAAAATATTAAAGTGGAGATTTTTTACTTTCATTATTGGCAAAATTTAGCCAAAGTCCCTGTACAGGACCAGCATACTAAAATACAGACCAACATACTAAAATACAGACCAGCATACTAAAATACAGACCAGCATACTAAAATACAGACCAGCATACTAAAATACAGACCAGCATACTAAAATACAGACCAGCATACTAAAATACAGACCAGCATACTAAAACACAGACCAGCATGCTAAAATACAGACC